GATAATTTCCCTTTGAAGACAAGTGCACATACTAAAAGTGTAAATAATGATTGATTATGAAATCAAATATACATGCATATGCATAGTATTAGATACACTAATATTTATATTTGTTTATATATATATAAATAAAACTTAGCCTCTAAAATTATTTTGAACTTTTATAAAAGGGATGGGTGAACAGTTTCCTTTTCAGCTCAGGGAAAAAGTGATAGACCTGTCTAAATTTCTTTAAAACATACTCACTTCTTTCAATTATCTGCAATTCTTTAGTATCCCTTACGGTATTCATTTGCTACATAAACATTTGTTGAATAAGAAATATCTCTATGTTGATGTACATATGAAAGCAAAATGTCTAACTGGCTTGTAAGAAGGAGGCAAGAGTCCGATATTTTTTGTAAGAATAACAGAGTCTCCTCTACCCAGCTGACATTCTTATGTTCTCCCCAAGAGTTCCCATTTGCTGTGTTCTGCCCATCAGATTCAATGATGTATGCTGTGAACAGAATCAAACAATATTTGGGAGTCAAAGCTTTGATCATCATGCTTGGTTTCTGATAGCCCAAAAGGATTTTCTTTTTTTCCCGTTCAGATTTGCTGCAACGTTAAGACTTTGCTCTCTGCAATGAAGGTTCCATTTGGAGAATAGTTTGCAAATTGATATGGTAGCAATTTGCCATCTGTCCAGTGAAGGACTTCGACAAAGCATCAGATTCCCTGATAAACCAGATTTGGACACAAGCTTAGGGAAAAGCTCTAAAAGATTTATTTAGAGAAGTGTTTATAATCCAACTAGATACATTTTTGATGTGTGGAAATTGGGGCAACAAATCTAGGAATGAATAATTTTTTAAGAACAAACTGCAATAAGAAATATTCAGGCTGAATTTAACATAAACTGTACTCATGCCAGAATTATTTAGACTTTTCCAGGAAATGACAGTGGTAGAATTTGTCATGTCTTAGATAGTAAGTGCTCCATCCATTTTACACTCAATTCTCAGGTATCAATACTCAATTCTCGATACTCAATTTCTCTTTACAAAGGATTGCAAATGGATCTTGGGATAAAGTTGAAAGTTTGGAGAGAGGCGAGATTAAGCACCCTCCATCAAATGCTATGGATTAGAAAGGATGGGACCTGCCTCCATTCTGACCAGAAGTCTTCATTTGTAAAATGGTCTAGCCAAGCAAGGGCCGATCACCTCTCTCAACGTGCTGGAGACGCTCTTCTTAATGCACCCCAGGATCCCAATTGGCCTTCTTGGCCACGAGGGCACACTGCTGCCTCATGGTCAACTTGTCATCCACCATGACCCCGACCTTTTGGAAACTTTCAGCAGCCTTGGGTACCATAGGGTATCTGAGGAAGATACCTAGGGCAGGATTCAAATTACTGAAAGCAGATGTTTACATCTACTTAGTGACAGACATTTTCTAGTGAGTGTAGAAAAAAATACATTCATATGTAGACCAACTAACTCATTTCCTAGAAGAATTTATATCTGCTCTCTAGTTAGGTGATTTCCTCAAATGTACATGTCTGAGGTAGAGAGGATGAAACCTGCCCTCAGTAATCAAGCCTATTAAAAACATATATGTACACAACAATTATTTTTCCATCCTCTGTGAGGAAATATCTTTCCAATGAACATATGTTATTTGTCTATCATTTTTTCACCTCCTATTCTCTCCTCCTCTAATACTCTTATATTCCAGTAAAATAAAGAAGGCTGTCTTCCTACCCTATAAGAATGAACTGAATTATTTAAAAGTGCTTGTCAGTACTTGTGATAATCATTCATAAAAGAAACAAAAGATTTGCATAACTTTTAATGAAGCCACAGAAGTTCTACTTTTTTTTTTCCAATTTTGTATTTTGCATTTCCAATAGGAAAAAAAATAGGAATTTTCACAAAATTATCTTTTAATTTGCATTTTCTCATTATTGCATTTTACCTATTGAAGTTAAGTTTTTTATGTAACTTTCCTGATTATGCATATTGTGCTATTTGGACATTTGCTATTAAACCTGATTTCTCCATGTTCGTTTTTCTTAGAATGAATTTGGTATTGCATTAGCTTCTCATAACAAGCTATCTTGTCTGCATCCTCATGATATATTCCCATGTGTTTGATAAAGTGCTGCTGTAATGTGTATCACTTATTTCAGCATATACCACCGATTAATGAAACAAATTATCCTTTACTTCTCTGGTCCATGTAATCATAAAGTCAAAAGGACAATATACTATACAACAACTGTAATCAGACCATAGCAGTTCAGCAAATTCCTATGCTTTTAAAAATTAACACACTGGCTAGCAGAGTGAAATGTAAACCCAGGTATGGAGTTTTGCAAAACCAAAAATACTGTGTGAAAGAGCTGCGAAACTCATCTCCCCTCTTCTTAAATGACTAAGTCTCAATGGAAATTTAAGTCTGAGTAGAATTAAATATTTAAAGCTAATATTCTAATAGTTGATTTTTTAAAATGAAAAACATCCCCAAGTTCCAAATTTTCATGTGGCAGGTGATATCTTCAACTTTTGCGATTCAGTTCTATATTATTACTCTAAATAACCATAGCAGATTTAAAATGGAGAGAATGCAATAGAATATATTAATTTCAACTGAATACAAAAATAGTCAAAATAAGGAGTATTGTATAAACTGGACTATTCATTTTTATGTCTAATTTGTTTGAAAACACCAGTTTCTAATTAAAATTAGGTTGGCATAGAGTTACTTGTCTGTAGGACAGAGAGGTGTAAAACTTAGATACATTTCTGTCCACTCTGACTGAAAATATATAATTTATTAAAGACTATCTTTTCTCTCAACAAATCTCATGCTTCATTTTTGTCTGTGCCATTCCTCAGATTATGATTTCTTTTTATTGGAAAATAATAAGAAGAATCTTAAAATAGTTGCCCTTCTAGGTGTCTTCACTTCAACATTGGTGTTCATCTAGCAGTATAAGTTGCTTAATTAAGAAGAGCGTCTCCAGCAGGTCGAGAGATGTGATCGTCTCCCTTTACTCAGCCCTGGTGAGGCCACATTTGCAGACTGTGTCCAGTTCTGGGCTCCCCAGKACAAGAGGGATGTGGAGCTGCTGGAGAGAGTCCAGCGCAGGGCTACGAGGATGATCAGGGGCCTGGAACATCTGCCCTATGAGCAAAGGCTGAGAGAGCTGGACCTGTTCAGMCTGGAGAAGAGAAGGCTGAGGGGGGACCTGATCAGCGTGTATAAATACCTCAAGGGAGGCAGTGAGGAGGAGGGTGGTGGCCTCTTTTCAGTGGTGGACAGTGATAGGACTAGAGGAAAGGGCCACAAGCTGAGGCATCAAAAGTTCCACAGGAACTTAAGGAAAAATTTCTTATCATCTTATTCTTATCATCATCTTATCCTAACACCATACTTATATTTGCTTCATGAGCATGAGATATGTTTCATAGAACATCTTTTGTACATTTTTGCAATACCACGCCATGCCAAATTAAAATTCAAAATAATTGATTTTTTAATAATAAATATTGGCCAATTTCCAGTTGCATGTTAAGTATCAAAAAACAAACAGAAAACAAACATACAAACAAAAACTTCTTTATAACATAATGGCATAACCCTCCTAGGAGAGCTATCGATGTTTCAGCTGTGATTCAGTGCAACAAATAAGCACATACATAACATCCAGATCACATATATTTCTGTTCAGAAAGGCAATTAACTGCTTATAAAAGTTTAGTGCCTTTCTGAGTGTAATATTCTGCAGTTTATTTTTCATTTTTTAAATCTTGTTTGTTAACAGATATATTATAATAACAGCATGATCACTGATCTGAAAGATGCTCTTTTGGAATTTATTCTAGTGTACCTTGGTGGAGAACTTAGAACCTTGTCCACAGAAGTGCATTTAACCTACACTATTGCTCTTAGAGACTACCAGAATGTTTTTCAGTATTGTGAGATTATTTTTCAAACCTATTATATATCCTTGAGATTTGTTCAGGATCAGAACTGCTGAAACCATTTTTTAATCTGTTTTCTTTATTTGGAAGTTTTGTTTGAAAAAGTATTTTAGTAACCAGACATCAGATTTAGCAATACCTTGGGTCTTTTGTTCCTGCCCTTGACAGTTTAAACTCTGTATCACAAAAGCTTAGTTAGCTAGGCTAACCTTTCAAGCTAGTGCTGGTACAAGCTGACACCTGATGCTATAGAAAATGTAGGGTACATTCTGATAATATAAATACAATGCTTTTTTTCGAAAGTTGCTTGTGAAGTAAGATATTATTTTACCTTCAAAACTTTTTCTGCTCTTTTCTTCTGCCCTCCAGATCATGGGCATTCTATGAGTCATAGGATACCAAATAATCTGGAATTATTCTTGAGTATACTATTAATTCTAAAGGACTCTGTATTTGTGAAATATAATCAAGGCAAAGTTAGGGGAAATTAGTGCTTATATTATTTTAAATATATGTTCTATACATATATAAATACATTTATTCATATGCATGCAAAAATACACACACATATACATGCATACACAAATGCAGACATACAGACACAAGCATACACACAAATTCACACAAAATCTCCAGGTTACATCTAAGCATAATACATTGCCATATAAGGAATGTAATTTGAATGTCTGTGATATTTTCCGTTCAAAGTGTTAAAGTACTTGGAATAATAATTGATAAATTAATTCCAACACTATATAAAACCAGTTGTTCTCTGAATGAAATGTTTCTACTTCTGAAATATATGTCAATATTGTGTAAAATATACATATTCTGTAAATATATGTATTTTGTGATATTTCCTATATGGTACATAATATGTAAAGCTAAAAAAAGACCCATGCTAAGTACTGATCACATATAAATGACAAAGATCTTTTCATACCAGCTGGCAATTTTCAGTGAAGCAATTTTGCAGCAACATCCCTTGTTAATTAAACTTCCAAATCACTTCACTGTTATAGGAGCTGGACTTTGAAGCTAAAACAAGCTACACCCTGAGGATAGAAGCAGCCAATATGCATGTTGACCCTCGCTTCCTAAGTCTGGGACCTTTCAGCGATATGACAACAGTGAAGATAATTGTGGAAGATGTTGATGAGCCGCCTGTGTTCACTTCTCGATTGTATTCCATGGTGGTGTCTGAAGCAGCAAAAGTTGGCACTATCATTGGGACTGTAGCTGCCCATGACCCAGATGCTTCAAATAGTCCTGTCAGGTAATTATAAGGTGTCTTAATTGTCTTATTTATTTGTTTATTTATTTGTTTGTTTATTTATTTATTCTTGTCATATCCTTCATTTTGTTGTAGAAGAGTGTTTATTTGCACTGGAAAAGGTCAAGAAGGTCTTTCTCTCAAAAAGGGAGCGAGAGATGTTCTAAGAGCTTATTTTGACACATACTCCTGATATATATATATATATTTAAATCTGAGGCAGAGGGAGAGGGAGAGGAGAGGGACAAAAAACAAACAAACAAAAATTTATATTCCAGGGTAATTTCTCTGTAAAGCTTAGGAAGAACCAATTATTATTGTGAACAATTTATATTGTGTTAAATCAATATCTAGACCAAAATATCTCTCTGTCTATATATCATGATATATCTATCTGTATATCATGATTCATATTCTGAATGCCTTATAGCACAAATCTTCCTTTGAATCACAAAACAGAATTGAGGGCCCACAGAGAAAGCATGTTACAATACTCTACATAACTGAGATGTATAAGATGAGGTGCATATGCAGTTAAATGAATGCAACAGAAATCTCAGAAGGCTTATAAAGCATCATGAGGTTTCTGAACAGGTAAGCCATAATACTTGTACATTCTACTGTAGCCAAATATCTTTCATTAGAAAAGGAGAGATGTGAACACTAGAGAAGCTTGAAAACTGTCAAGGGCTTCGTCTTTCTTCTCCTTATCTTCTGAATGTGAAGAATATGCAATGCTTCCCCAATTTAATGACTGGTATCTAAGCTTTAGGAAGCACAAAATATGTATAATATGTTTGTCTGTCCTTTGAGAAAAAATTGCTCAAAGGTGAAGGTTCATCTTCCAAGTTAAAGCATCAGTGAGTGACTTGATATTCTTCTTAGGCAGAAGAGTAATGTTAAATGTCAAAATAATGTGCAAGGGACCTGGAGGGTAATTTTTCCAACTCTAAGGAATTATGAGAACTTAAAGTCCTAGAGAAAGACTACAGTACATATTAGTTAATATTAAAGTTTCACTTTTTCTTATTATTATTCATTCAGGCCATACAAAGGACTGCATATACAGAACTAGCTCAGATGGCACCATTTTTTGGTGCTGTCAAATTTTCACATTCATGACTTAAAGATTATCTTGTACCTCTACTGTAGTTCTTCAATTTCTAAAGCGGCAATCTTGAGTTGTAAAAATAAAGCATATGTTTCARTTCTAGAGGTGATACAAGTGTTGTCTCCCTCTTTTTCATTATGTATTTGCAACAGATTCAAAATAGCTGCCTCCTATCATGTATAAACAAGTCTTAGATGGATAGGTTGGCAAGGATCTACTTGTGAAATTTTTCTTTGCTGAGCTCTTTCTTTACTGTGGCAGTGTTTTCTGGCACTGATGTTAGCATCTGGTACATGATACCAGGTTTAGCAGAACTTGTAGAGTTGAATTAAATTGAGTTCTACTTATGTTCACTATGCTTTTGACTCTTGTACAGGATGAGTTTACTGTCTTAGTTCTGGTTATTTTTTTACAAATTCAGCATCAAAAACAGTTGTATCAGCAGCTTAACTGTCATCTTAAAGATTTCTCCTGCTTCAGAGCTGTTTGCAATTTTAGGATAAGGAAAAAGAGCAATATTGAGGGTTTATCTATATGCTTGTAAACTATATACACTATCAGGACTAATGACAAAAAATATAGTTCAATTGCTCCGAATCTACTGTAATGTACCTCAGAGACCAAATTCACCTAAAATGTGTAAATATGTAAATATGTAAAAGAGGATTAATGCATAATACTTTTCTTGTTCTATTTCAGAAGTTTAAGTTATCATTTTATCAATAGGTATTCCAGATTTCAGACACTGGATTTTATTGATATTGATTAAACATTGATTTGTTGCTGTTTGAAAAGTGTTGCACTTGCAAAATCAGACATTCTCAAAATCTTGACAAAAATGAAAAGTGTGAAAATAAATCTTGAAAACAGGAGGTTATCTTGTGTGTGTCTGAGAACTATTGATGTTTGAACTAGCTTAAATAAAGGATTTAAAACTGCTGCAGCTCAAAGATTTTAAAGTATTAATGGCTTCAAGGAATTAAAGGATTAAAGCTCTTTATTTACTTTTTTTTTTATTTGAATATGGATGCTACACTTGCATTAAGGCAAATTTCTTGCTTTGCTATCCAAGAAAAAAAATTGTTTGTTCTTGTTTTATCTGATGTATAATTTATGTAATTATTTAGTGTTTGTCCATGCTTCCTTCTCTATCGCTCTTCCTTTTTTTTTTTTTTTTTTTTAAAGTCTTTTTACTCTCCAGATTGCATATAGATAGTGTTAATACGTAGGAAATTTAAAGACTGGCAGAAGATTGAATCCCAGCTGCTAGGCCTGCCAAGATGGTTATATCGCATAGGTGACAGTATGCGATCCCCAATAGTCTCTAGGGGAAGCTTACTAGCCACATAGCTGCTGAAGAGTTCTGCTGGTCACATAAACAACAATGCTGGGATGAAGAAAAGGAAAAATGAACGCTATTGACATAAAATTAAAAAGAGAGATAGAGAGAAGGAGTGTAAATCAATGAAAACTAAAAAGTTTTTTATTATTATAGTTTTCTCTCTCATTATGACATAATACATCTCTACTGTAGAGATTTTGTGGACAGAGAACAGTGCCAGAAAGCAGAGTAGAATCTGGTGTATTACAACACAGAACAAATAACTAGTGTTTTAAGTTCATTATCGCTGAGAAGTCCAGTCTTTGAACTATCTTCTGTAATTCTTTCCTTCCACACTGTTAAAGGCTTTTGATTAATGTTATATCAATAATCTAATATATCATCACTGTGACAGTAATTGTAATAATCACACTTGGTCTGATTCTGACATTTTAATTTATCTTGAGTGTAGGGAAGTGCTCTGAAGTACTTACTTGATCTAAATAAGAGTGCAAGAATCTGACCCAATATTAAATCGAATGTCAAGAATACTTCAGCCGTAAATCTAACAGTGCCTAATCAACTGTCCTTTCCTCTCAAAAGGGATATAAACAGAACACCCACAGGCAGTTTGACCTTTTCCCTTATGCTATTTTCTATTTTCTAATGAGCTGGTTTCCTCTTCCTAGAACAAGTTTGGAGGTAAAAGATATGTTAAGCCAAAGAGTCAAGAGCACAAGTCTGTGTTTGTCTAATGACAGTAGAGTACTGGGAGCTGATGGCAATGACATGCAATCCCCTGACCTACAGCATCCTTCTTTATTTTACCCTATCCCTGTGGCTCCGGGTGATGCAGAGACTCTGCAGGGATTCTGCAGACTGCCAGCTCTGAGGGAGCAGAGCCAGGCTGGTACAGCCATGTGGCAAGCTTCCAGCTCGCTTTCTTGTTAGTTCAGGACTATGCTATTCCATGAATAAATGAATGGCTGCATCACAGCAGAAAAGAAGAAAGAAAAGAGGGGAGAAATACCTATGCTCTCACTTAAGAGGGCATTATTGATAGCAGGAACACAGCTAGCCATTGTCAGCACAGTACATTGTGCAGCCTGCATTTTCTATCCTATACGTACAGCTTTGTTTTTCTCAACAGCCTGGAGAACCTGGAGAAAACAAAGCTAAAGTAGTGAAACAATGGAAACTCTTTCTCTCTAATGAGAAATCAATAAAACATTTTTACAGGCGGTAATTGAACATAAATCTAAAGTTTTCTTTCATCCTTCACCTAGGTACTCAATAGATCGAAACACAGACCTGGAGAGGTATTTCAATATTGATGCCAACAGTGGAGTCATTACAACGGCCAAGTCTTTGGACAGGGAAACTAATGCTGTTCATAACATCACAGTTTTGGCAATGGAGAGCCGTAAGTAGCATTTGACAAATTTTATTAGCTATTTATCTATAGAGCTGCACGTTTAATCATGAGCAGCTTCATCAAGTGAAAATACAACAATCCAGATAAAAAAAGCCTTTTTGCTTAATATGAAAGAAACCTATGTGATGAAGACAGAAAGAAAGAAAGAAAAAACAAAGAAAAATGATAAATATTTGATCTTTCTTTTGTGTCACGTCATATGTAGTCTTTTTGACTGCTGAAAAGCAAGTACAAAGGGAGATGAAAAATGTTAAATCAGGAGTCTGAGACCAAATATCAGGAAAAGAAAAGTAATATGGAGTATGAAGAAGTGGAGTTAACTCACCATAGAGATAACATGACACTCACTCAAGAGTTGATTGCTGTTGGGCTACCAGAGTGCTCTTGAAAAGAGGTTAGGAAAGAGAATGTGAATATATATGCGGTCTCGCTGCCCTGACTCTCAGGTAAGACTGTAGAGGGTATTCTGTACTTACTCTCTCTTCTCCTGTGAGTGGCAATGTAAGATGAAAAACAATGAAGAGTGTAACTGAAGTATATGCAAGAGTAATTATGCTAACACAAATTTAAACCTAAACTTTTTCAGATGTGAACAATTCTTTTTCATATTGTGAAAAAAATATATATTTTTGTGGCTCTGTGGGTTTGATTTGAAGAATGTGTTTCTTCAAATGTCACCCTTATTGCTGCTCTATTGGATTATGAATAACGCAGTTATATATTCTCTGACTTAATATTTTAAGAATTCCACAGGCTTTACTTTCAATGAGGTTAATTTCATGTTTAACCTGAATGATAACATTTATGATTTAGCAGCTGTATGAATTTATCTTGTATTATCTGGACTAGATTTTTTGGTCCATCAGGCCTGCATGGGAGCCAGTGATTTTCTTGGCTATTAGTAAAACTGAGAGGACAGCCAAGGGACATCCTGGAGCATAAGTATTACATTAGGATGCTTTCATTTACATTCATGTACAGCCTGGTTTTCAGTAAGCTTAGGTATGCAGAAAAGAAAGATGGTATCAACATGATTCATTCTATGTCCTGTGTAATATCTTAGAGATAGATACATATTTGAAACTTTGTACAGTTTTTTTCTGCTCAAATCTCTAACATCATTATTTGTGTTAAAAAAAATCAATCCTTCTATTTCCTGCATTATAGATGTAGTATACACTTAGGTCTTTTGCACTTAGTTGACCACTTATATACTGTTTAAGACTRAGTGATGACATTGAACACTACATTCATGCCTGTTAGACGTGTTTTATTAGAGAATATAATTTATATTTAAGGTGATGTTTATGACTCTTAATGACAATTTTAAAATATTTTAAATAGTTTGGGATTTGCTTGGGAATGCCAATGTTGTACACAGCCAAGAGAATTCTCTCTGACTTCTTGATCAGCTTGCTCAGCCTGAATCAGACTGGATTGCAACAAACATATGCATTACAGCTATAATGATAATGCTATTCTTAATAAAAATACTGCTTTTATGGTGAAATATACTGCAGTGATGACATTTTTCATCACTTTGTTTATTATCTTTCTAAAGGATGATATTCAATGGTGTGATTAGCAAGTTAGATCATCCCTGAAAGTAAAATCTCAGTTCCATTGAGGCTATTGGAAAACACAAACATTGTTTTAAGAAGATCAATCCAAGAGCTTCCTTTGTCTTCCTAGGAGAGATTGTAATTGATTTGACAGGTATATGCCAAAGGAGAATGCAAATGAAAAATAGCCTGACACAAAGAATAACCTGTAAAGAGCTTTCCTTGCTTGTTTTCTTGGCTTCTCTTTGTAGAGAATCCAGCACAGATTGGGAGAGGCTATGTAGCCATCACAATCCTTGACATCAATGACAATGCCCCTGAGTTTGCCATGGAGTATGAGACAACTGTCTGTGAAAATGCTCAACCTGGTCAGGTATGGATTGCTTTTTTTAATGTTTATTTTTATGGGATAGGCAATCATTCCTTTTGAAAGCCTGACAGCTTTAAGATAAAATATAATCAGCTTATGGCAGTAAAAGTGACACTTTGATGTGCAGCACAAACAAGTATTCATCGAACCCTAAAAAATCCACCATACCCCTGATGAGAAAGCTGCAGACATTGAAATTAGAGGTGCAAGGTAGTGTTAAAAGCTCTGGGCTTCCTTGCTGACAAAACTGACACATTTTGCTAAACTCACCTAATTTTGAATAATGTTAAGCATACTTACTCCTCCTGACTTTGCTTGGAAGTAAGAAATCTCAACTTGTAGACAATCTGAGACCTAAAAGCCTACTATTCCTGCACTTTTGTTTCTGTTATGAAGTACAGTCCATAAGACCTCACATTGACTAGGGAGATTTATTCCTACCAAACTCCTGTGAGCTTTTTGTTCTCAACAATGCTTCCAAGAAATTCTAGACCAAATAACTGCATATGATGTTGGTTGTCCTCTCACATTTGGACTTTTTTCTTTACTTCTTAAGACCTGAGGACATATACATCATCCAGTTCTCTCATTCCAGAGAACCCAGAGTCCCAGAGAACTAGCAGATGTTTCAGTCAAATAAATCCCATGTATTCCCAGGGAGACTGTGCACTTTTGTGCTTTTTCCCAGAATATGGGTTTTTTTCTGTGGCAGATGCTGTTTATTGCACATTTCAAGATTATAGCAGAATTAAATGCGCAGGAGAAAACACTATGACCATTAGTTCATTTTCATGAGAAATACAGAAATAGGAGTGTTCTTACATGGAGAAAAAAAAAATAACATCAAAAAAGGAAAAGTAAAAACAGAGACTGGACAAACTGCATAAAGCACCCCTTTGTAGCTTCTTGCTTCACCTGTGATTAGCCAGAACTTTTAATTCTCAGTATCTATTGCTTTATGAATTGTAAATAATGGTGAAAGCTTTCTTTCAGAGACAGATTATGACAGAATTTTAGAAAATAAAGCTAGAAAAGTGAAAAAAAAATCAGGAAATGTTAATTAATTGAAATAATTACAAGCCAGAAAAGCAAAATACGTTCATTACTGAGGTTTGGAGTACAATGTTGACTGCAGCCACTTATAACTATGAGAGGGCCATGTTATAGCTATCCAGAAGATACATTTCCTTCACTGCTTAATAGCTTATATATGACTGCTACTCTGTTTATATTCCACTACTATGTATTTTGTATTCTGAGTCCTGCTGAATAACAGGACTAAAACCTCTCACAGAGCCTACAGAGCATTGTTTTGGCCAATTAAATTCAGTTACAGGGATAGCAGGGAACATGAGTCATATTTTGACATACATATCTGTGTATGTTTTACGGAGGGAATTAGAAAATCAGAGTAGGACTTAAGAGTTGATACTTTAATATCAATTGAGGAGTTACTGTGTATATAGTGTGTACATATTTATACTTCCCATTCCAACCACTAAAAACACTAAGTATCTTAAAACAGGTCATCCAGAAAATCAGTGCAATCGATAAAGATGATCCACCAAATGGTCATCAGTTCTACTTCAGTTTGACAGCAGAGGCAGCAAATAACCAAAATTTTACGCTGCAGGACAACAAAGGTAAGAATACAAATGTGACAGGACATGAGGTTGGGTAAATACTCATTATCAACACCTTTCATTTTGAAAATGTAGTGGTGATTATCATCTACATAAACTTTCATTCTGCTAAATTTAAGTACAGTCAGCCTCCAAAGTAATTTTATCTGTAGATTATCTGTCAAATGGATGAAGCTGTTGTTTGAATCATTTAAAGCCTTGAGCCAAACAAAACAGCTTCAAATCCAACTTCCAGAAGTCACTCTTTTAACATTATTTTTCCTTGTATTTATAAGTTTTTATCTAAATTAGATTTTAGATCAATGACTGAAAATTTTCCAGGATTAATGTTTTATTAATATAACTCAGGGCATAAAAAACGAGCACATGGTAAAACAATTTTTTTTTTTTTTTTTAGAAAACAAAAATCTTCAGTAAGTATACCACCTACTGAAACATGCTTTTGAAAATGAAAGCTGCCTACTATATTTACACTGACATTGTATGACTGTTTTCCCAAAGACTTTTGCAGACTCCCATTGACTTCACATTTCTATTTGCTACAATATCTGAGAACAAACTTCTAATACATGTTCTCATTACTACATTGTATAGCTGGGCATGTATCAGTCAGTTTAACTCTTAGCTGAAGCAAATAAAACAAAATAGACACTCTTACACTTTCATTGCTCTATCACCATGAACCACAGTTACAAAGTTATCCCTATTAATAAAGTAAGAAAAATAGTCATATGTTAAAGGACATTGTTTGTATAGACAAACTTTGAACAACATTCAGGTTTTAACACCCCTTCAGTCCTATGTAACAATAAAACTAAGTGTAAAATGTTTACTGCCTTTTTCTGCATGCTGTTGGTTATGTGTTTAATTTTCTCCCTATGAGGGACTTACCATTACAAGCTAAAGATTATATTAGCAATAATGATCAAGATAGATACAAATTTAAAAAATTTCTTCAAATCTTTTCAAACCTCAGRTATTGCTGCAAGTACTACAAAGTCATCCTTTCAAAGAAGTGAAAAATTGTGAAGAGTCATAATAAATCCTTTGCAATGCCAGTAAAATCAATGCTGTTATGAAACAAACCAGTAGCTGCCTATTTTGATATTGTTCTATACATATCTCATATTGTGATGCAATGTGCAGCAGTGTTTGTATACTTAGACAGGCTTGTTAAAATATATATACCTATACAAGATCATAGATATATCTGTCTATGGACAGACAAATTGACCAACTGACCAGTTGACTGACCTATTTATTAATTCTAGGAGATGTATCTTCCGGCCCTTTAGGAGCCGTCAATCTGCATTGGGTTTCACAAAGATTTTCTGCAACATTTCAAGTTCTTAATCAACTCAAAGCAGAAATGAAGCACACAGTTTTTTTATATTAATTCTCTTATTGAATTTGGTGGAATATTTAATTTTGCCAGCTCAGACCCAAAAGATACACTGTTCATTTCACACTTCAATAAATAACTTAATTCACACTATAATTTTCCTATTCTAAACTCAAATAAGGTTGAATTAAAAAAAAAATCAGAAACTTTTTTCTGTTAGCTGCTAGTTCAATATTTAAAATATTAATTAAAATACTTTAAAATATGATTTTATATCAAAATTATATATTCAATTTTTGGTTAGCTTGGCATTTCATGACTGCAGTCAGCAGCCATAAGGAAATATTTATTTCTTACTCTGACAATCCTAGAGTAAAAATTAGAGACTGATCATGTCTTCTATTTGAGTCGTGTATAGAAGTCATCTAACCCTATGTTTGCTTGTTTAGTAGGAGTTAATCACATTTCAACTATTTTGTTCTTTCATTATCATGACAGAGAGCAAAAGCAGAGAGCTTTTTATTTTTTTTCATAGAAAATTACCTGAGATGTGATTATCCACTTTAGAGAAATGGATGGAAATATGTGAGTAAGCCATCCACAGAGGTTATGAGTGTGAATCTCCACAAATTTTTCTCTTTCAGAATCTTAGCTCTCAGCTGAGACTGAAAACAAGTGCAAGTCTTTGTTACATGTGCAATTACTTGTCTTTGTGGACAAAACAGGGCTTTTTTTTTTTTCAGAAAAAGCATTTGTTTTCAGAGCTTATTCTTCATGAATAAGTTCATCATTTCTATTAATACATTATCTAATTTGTGAATAACTGAAACAGATCTTTGGAGAGCTTTGGAAACTAGACCAGAACCATGCATATAGATACTAAATCTGATTATTAAATGTTTTTTTTTCTTTTTTTTCCCCTTATTTCATCTTCAGCTATGCATCTAGATTGTGTAACAGTGAGCATAATTAAAATTTGGCAGGTTTCTGCAATTTCGAAACAATCCTTAGTGGAAAACAGAAATCTTTACGCTATATGTATGATTAGGAGTTTGCTTAATTGAGTATGAATTCACAGCTGATCCTATTTTTGCAACTCAAAAATGTGTGAACAGGAAAAAAAAAAAGTTCTTAAAATAATGTATTTATAGTCTTTTGAGTGAAAGTTTATATTATCTATGAACTTGTATTTTAGGCAGACCATGCATTTTACATTTTTATTTATCTGTTTAGATAACACTGCAACTGTGCTAACGAGAAGAAATGGATTCCGGAGACAGGAACAGTCTGTTTTCTACTTGCCAATATACATTGTGGACAGCGGATCACCTTCACTTAGTAGCACTAATACCCTCACCATCAGAGTCTGTGACTGTGATGCAGATGGCATTGCTCAGACATGCAATGCAGAGGCATACATCTTGCCTGCAGGACTTAGCACTGGAGCCCTCATAGCAATATTGGCTTGTGTCTTGACATTGCTAGGTATGTCTTCTTACTATTACTATTCTTTTCCCTTCCATGTGCAGCTGCCAAAAAAAGAAAAGTGTATCTAAAAACAGGAACAAGTAGCCTGCTGTCCAGAGCAGCTTTTTGCATCATGAGCCATAAAAATAAGTAAATAAATAAATAAATAAATAAAGCAATATCTTTGGTGCCAAGTTCTGATACTTGGCATCTAAATTAAGATGCTTCTAGTTATGTGTATAAACTAATACTAAAAGAAGAATGAACAGTTACATCAGATGCAACAGTTGAGAGAGAAAGAGTGAAGCAGTTAGCTGCTTCTCCTGTTTAATATCACGGGTCATTCTTAGATTACTCACTGTATCATCTGTATCAGTGTGTGCTCCCTTTAAGAGAGAGAACTTTTAAAATATCATATGACTTGAAGAAAACAAAAGATGTAAATATAAATGTACATCTTTTTTGAAATTAAATGTAACAATTTATGGATGATAAATTTATGGATAATTTATGGATGATATGTTAGAGCTCATTGTATATGTTCCAATTTGGAATACAATGATTTTTTTGTTTGTTCTTATCTCTGAAGAGATTACTATATTCCCTGGCTGCACATACCAGTCTTGAAGAAAGGGGAGGACAGTAGTATCTTTACATCCTGCTGCTCTTGTGTGCCTTGCTAATGATCAATCTCAGCAGGTCAGAGGTGCCTRAACATTTCTGCTGCCCAGTAAGACCCCCAGGAATGTGCTCTTGCTCTTCTGACCTCAGAGCCTTTCTTCTCTTCCCACTCATTCCTAGAAATAAGTTTTGAGTTTTTGAGATCAATTGAATGATCTCATGATCACGAATTTTTCTGAATGTTCCTTCTTCCCTGTCACTTTATCTCAGTTCCTGAAAGAAATCCTGATGCTCTCTGCATAAAGAATAGACTTCAGGATGTCAGCAATTGGTGATAGGACTGGGATCACAGGATGCACTTTCTTTTTATTTTTAATTATTATTTTTATTTTTGTAAGAGTTAATCAGTGAATAGAAAAGACAGGCCACAGGCTACAGGACCAAAATATGACCCAAGCTTAATGCAGAAGGCAAATGCATTTGTATTGGAGAGGCTTGACAATATCATTTCAGTGTGATTCCCAGTTCCAAAGACAAAGAAGGATAAGGTTTGCATAGATATCAGGCATATATGCATTCTGGCACAAGTATTCTGAATTCTCCAAAAGGTCTTGAAGTTTGTATCCTTTGCTCTGCAACTTTGGTTTGATACTAGATCTTGCCCTGTACATTCTTTTGTCTAAGAAATAGGCATTATCTCTACCAAGATTCTGATTCCTTCAGTGGATTTACTTGACTGTTAATATTTTTACTTAAATAACCAATCCACTTTAATCGAGAAAGACTGAGAGGGAAGAAGGAAGACTGTTACTAAATTTTATTTATTTATTATAGTCAAATATAGGATATCTAGTGTCTTTTTTTTTTTAAGTAAAATAGTTTTCAAGTATAACAACTTTTTAACAAAGCTTTTATCCCTCCTCAAATTGTCTGAGATTAAGTTTTAAATTTTATTCCATAGGAAGTTTCTGTACTTTGTAATTACACAGAAAACATTTATAATTATTTACTCTGCAGTGAAGCTATGTCTTAAAGAAGTGGGGTTTTTTTAAGTGTTTACAATTTATTCTAAAAAGAACAGATGAAAAGACCAATAATAGTGTATACTGAGTTTAGAGTGTGTATGATATTTAGGGAAGTAAGTAGGAGCTTTTTTAACTCCTCTGAAAATTATATGGTAATTTAATTCAAGGTAATTTGTTTTTCAGTTAGCATTTTCTAGGCACAAAAATTGTTTTTTTTTTTTTTTTTATAAGTGTTTAACATAATGTATGTACATAAAATCACACATACACCAAAAAAAGAATTTTCATCTGCAGATAAAATAATCATTTTTAAGACATAAAGATTTTATTTGTGTTGAAACAATGGAAGAAAGACTAGACTGATGTAATCCCATTAGTCTTGTACTGGATTTTACAGGTTAATAATACATTGATTAAATTTCAAAATACATATTCAAGTTATTGCTTTGTCAATTGAAAGATGGAGAATTCATTAATATCATCATAATGCCTATAAGCAGCTAATTACATTAGCATACATATAGTCGTGTGATTAGTAAGCAAGAAGAAGCAGTTCCAGTCCTAAGGATCTTCTTCTCAAAATCATTAAGGTTGACATACGATGTGACAATCTGGTATGTGGAGATTTTGCCTTTACATTTTAAAAAAATAGTAAATCTATACATTGCTTAATTTTGGGATATCCAAACTATTGAAAAAAAACATTTGATTATGCAATACAGAACTTGATTGGTAATATATCTCCTAGAATGTAAAGGAAATTGGAGATTCATTTGAGGTCATGGTCACTCACAGGTCAATGAAGTCCCTCTTTTTGGACATTCAAAGACTATAGTTTGAAAAAAAAATTGAAACTTATTAAGCAGCAGTTATACAGTAAGCTTGTTAACTAAGAATTAAGTCCAGTTTTCCGTAGTCTTGGCTGTGATCCCCCAAACCCTTCTGACTCTAGCAATGATGAGGTATGAATAAATMGGCAGTTAGTGTGCTGTTCAGATAGCTGAGGGACTCTAGCTTTCAGCTTTATGAGTCATAACACACCTAAGGCATAAACCAATGCCTATTTGCTCACAGTTGATTTAGCTTATTGTTATAGAAAATGCCAAGCTTAGGGGTGTAGTATATATATATGATAATGATCCTGCCTAGTTTTAACTTTTCCTTTCTACTTAGTTCTGCTTGTAGTGTTCCCTTTTGGGTTTTCTCAGGGCTGCAAAGACTTCTTTAAAATGATGTAGCAGTTGCCTTGAGTACAAAAAGGAAATGGGAAACTTTAAAACAGAGGAATACATTAGGAAATCTTGTTTTGCAGATTCTGTTTTTTTTCTGGTTTTAGAAATTTCATAGTAATTTCATAAGACATAATGCATAAAGATGCAAGAGCTGATTCTTATTTTGCCAAAAAGTGTTTCTTTAGAAACTGATTTAATTGACTATGTCTAAATTAGTGACCTCAATGTGTACTCCTCTGTCCTTACAGCTTTTTGACTGTGTTTTATTTCTTCTCTGAAAAGCTTAAAATCAGGTTTCCTATATGTTCATTCAGTCACTAATTACAGCTTTGATAGGTCTAGTGATAAAAGTAGGAAGGAAAAAAAAAAAGACTTTTTAGAAATAGATAAGCTTTAAAATCATTTTAACTTGCAGACATCAGAGCATTAGGTTTGGGCCTATTTTTATCTCTGCATTTCTTGGAATGCAGCTAAAGCTTTGTTGTAATTGAAGGTTAAATATTATTGTTCATAGCTGCTGGAATCATAAAACTATAGAATCATAGAATCATTAAGGTTGGAARGGACATTTAGAGATCATCTAGTCCAACCCATGCTCATGCAGGGTCACCTAGACCATGTGGCACAGGATGGCATCCAAGTGGGTTTCGAAGATCTCCAGAGGAGACTCCACAATCTCTCTGGGCAGCCTGTTCCAGGGCTCTGTCATCTTCACTGTCAACAATTTTTTCCTTAAGTTCCTGTGGAACTTTTGGTGCTTCACTTCCTAGACGTTCCCTCTAGTCCTGTCAGTGGCCAGCACTGAAAAGAGGCCAGCCCCCTCCTCCTCACTGCCTCCCTTGTGGTATTTATAGACACTTATTAGATCCCCCCTCAGCCTTGTCTTCTCCAGTCTGAACAGGCCCAGCTCCCTCAGCCTTTCCTCATAAGGCAGATGTTCCAGGCCCCTGATCATCCTCGTAGCGCTGCGCTGGACTCTCTCCAGCAGCTCCACATCCCTCTTGTCCTGGGGAGCCCAGAACTGGACACAGTCTCCAGATGTGGCCTCACCAGAGCTGAGTAGAGGGGGAYGATCASCTCYCTCRAYSTGCTGGAGACGCTCTTCTTAATGCACCCCAGGATCCCAATTGGCCTTCTTGGCCACGAGGGCACACTGCTGCCTCATGGTCAACTTGTTGTCCACCATGACACCCAGGTTCCTCTCTACAGAGCTGCTCTCCAGAAGGTCAGTTCTCAGCCTGAACTGATATCCTATTGCTCCCCAGAGGCAGGACCTTGCACTTGCCCTTATTGCATATGGTTTCTGGACAGCAGCCCAGTTGTCCAATCTGTCCAGGTCTCTCTGGATGGAAGCGCAGTCCTCTGGGATATCAGCTCCTTCTCYGTGTTTGGTATCATCAGCAAACTTGCTGAGGGGGCATTCTGTACCTTCATGCAGGTCACTGATGAATAAATTGAACAGGACTGGACCGAGGACTGACCCCTAGGGGAATCCACTAACTACAGGCCTCCAACTGGACTCTTCAACGCTGATCATCACACTCTGAGCTCTGCTATGCAGCCAGTTCTCAGTCCACCTCACTGTCCATTCACAGGATGGTGAGGAATTAATAATCTCATAAAAGCACCTAAATGTTTAACCTTTAGAAAGACTTCAATTGTTTTGGCATCAAGAAAAATTGAGATGTATAAAGCATACTATATAAAACATTTTTTTCTTGATTTTATTGCACCTTCAGGCAGATCTGTCTACTGAGTATCATATTTTTCACTTATTAACAGGAATTTAACTCTCAAAATGAAGTCTGTTAAGAATGATATCAGTGTGAAAACACATTTACACTTGAGGAAAGAAAATTAATATCTGCTTATTATATGGCAATAAAAATTGTGACAGTAAATGTTAAAAATAATAATAAAAAAAATCTGTCAAACGTAATCTGTGCTTAGGTGGAAAATTGTACTGTCAGCAACCTAATTTGTCTTTCACTTAAAATAACTTTTATAATAAAGAAACCTATTAAGAGTGAAGAGCAATTGATGTCTCTATGATGTTAATTTTATGTTTTGTGTTTTATCATTTACAGATTAATGTGTCATGTTAATATCAAAACATTTTAAACAAAAAATCCTTTAAAGATCAAAATTCTGTATTTTCTAATTGCTTTGTAAATGATGTTTCAAATAATGTGCACCATACTGGTGATTCCTGAATCCAAACAGGGAAAAAAGAATAGTAAAGAAGCTGATACTGCAATAATGTACAGTTTAGGTTCATTTTGTCTATTTGTCCAAATCTCCAGGAAAATATGAACTTTTATCAATTAAAAAAAAAATTCAGAAGGCCTGTCTGTCTTTAAAATCATCTTATGTTTTAGCAGTATTGCAGTATCTGAGGAAGGATGATTTAATTTTCAACACATACAGTATTTGAATGCCTGATTTATTCTAACCAAGTGATTCCTATATTTAATCATGCTTAGTTATGATTAGATTGATACTGATTTAAAAAATCTTCCATGAAGGAAGAGCTTTCCAGAATGACAGTTRTACAATAAATAATTTATAGAGCACACTTATGAGACTACTTAAGGATAGCTCAAGCTTAATTAGCCTTTTATTTTTAAAAAAAWTTGTACAGCATTCATTGCTCTAATAAAGAATGTAAGCCTGAAATGTGTAAATCATATAATCACATATTCTTATGATTAAAAATAAGCATTAAACCAGAACAGATTATTTGAATGTAGAAGGACACTTACTTTTCAATTTACTGTTATTTCTACAATAACAGCAAAGCATCATTAACTMAGCAAATATTATCCAGATGCTACCATATAATATTAATTATTTTTAGGAGGATGAATAACACTCTATCATGCCCCACATATGGGTATAATGTTCATATAACTTGTTCCATGTTTTGTGTATCAGCAATGCTGTTTCATTACCAAAGCCAGACTTGAAAAAGCAATTCCTCCTGGTTCTTTTGGCTGTCCTTGCAGATTAAAACAAGCTTTCAAGTTGAAAGGAGAAATTTAAAGATAGAATTTTAAAAATAATTATCTTTCTTAGCACTAGTTGATTTGGTAAACTCCACTCCTAGCAATTCTCAACAGACATAGTATATAACCCTGTTGTACACTCTTTTGCATTTTAAAGGAAAGTGAAGGCTAATATAGTGATAATTTTAATCCACGAACTAAAAAAAGTCTTATTTTACACATAGTTTAACAATTCTGAGTTTGACAATCAAGGATGGTATTTCTGTTTTATGGGAGAATTACCATCATCTTTAATTCAGTCATTTCCCAAATTGTGGTTGTTAAATTCCATTCAGCTATTTTATGAATGTATTTTTACTGCCTGGGCTATAGAAAGTTAAAAAAAAAAAAAAAATTTTTCTTTATTTCATGGCTATGAGATTGTAATATTCAGAGTGAACCAATCTTAAAATTTATGTTTAGCAGATAACACAGGATATAGAATTAGAGATGAAGACCTTAATTCAGAATGGCTTTGGAAATAGAATTTTTAACATCTAGAAGGCTCTTGGTTTAAAAGCCATTTTAGAATCTGCTAGTAATTTGAAATCAAGCAGCATAAATTTGCCTGCTGTTTCCTTAGGTCTTTATCGTATAAATTAATGAAAGTTCCCAACAGTAGGAGGAATATGTTCCAATTTTAGCATTGCTAAAGCTCATATCTTTTTGTGTTCCAGTTCTTGTCTTGCTGATTGTTACCATGAGGCGTCGGAAAAAAGAGCCCCTTATTTTTGATGAAGAGAGAGATATCAGAGAAAACATTGTCAGGTATGATGATGAGGGTGGTGGAGAGGAAGACACAGAGGCTTTTGACATGGCTGCCTTGAGAAACCTCAACATCATCCGAGACACTAAGATCAGAAGGGACGTGACGCCTGAGATTCAGTTCTTGAGCAGACCAACCTTTAAAAGCATTCCGGATAATGTCATTTTTAGGGAATTTATCTGGGAGAGACTAAAAGAAGCGGATGTGGACCCCTGTGCCCCTCCGTATGATTCCCTGCAGACATATGCTTTTGAGGGGAATGGCTCCGTGGCAGAGTCGCTCAGCTCACTAGATTCCATCAGTTCAAACTCTGACCAGAATTATGATTACCTCAGTGACTGGGGCCCTCGGTTTAAACGACTTGCGGATATGTATGGGACTGGACCAGACTGCTTATATTCATAGCCTTGGAACCTTTCTCTGAAAATGCACTGAAGAAAATACTAAAACAAGACAAATAAAAAAAAAAAAAACCTTTCAACTTTACAGACTGAAGAGTGTTGTACATATTTCTCCATTTTTAACCTTTTAGGTTTTTTTGCCTTGGTGAAACATATCTTCATTAGACTTGTTCTAGGGACTGCACTGACCACACAGGATCTGAGCATTTAATGACATTTTTAATAAAATGAAATGCTCAGTTGCATTCAAATAGATAGCAACCCTCAGGTACCTGCAGAGGCAACTAGCTTGTAAGGGTATGTAGTGCACTGTGACCTCCATGAGCCAATGACACTCTGTAGATGCCTTCACAGTACTGCTATATCTAGAATGCAGAGTCTCTGGTTTAATAAGTATAAGAGGAAAACAATCAACAAATATAATTCAATATACCAATAAATAATATTTACAAATGGAAATTCTTGGACAAATTTTCATTACAGTGTTGCATGCAGCTTGCTAGGTCAAAACCAGGAAGATGGATATGAAACGAAAACAGAAGCAATTGTATTTTAATTGTTCTTGTTTGTTCTTGAAACTGTTTAATTGAAAGACACTCTAAGTTTCTACTAGTTTTATGAAAAAAATACATCTTTTTGTTAAGAAATCTTGCAACATTGGCCATTGACTTACCAAAATTGTTCATAAAACACATAAAAAGAGAAATATGGAAGGATAATCTTAAAGCTGAAAAGTTTTTTGATGCCCATGTAGGTACAGAAAAAAGTTGCTATCTATTTGTTATTTTTTATTATCTCTTCTGATTTGTACAGGAGAATTTATCCTTTTTTATTATTATTTGACATGAAGTGTTATATTTATTTTGGAGCTCAAATCTCCACTAAATTCAGGTCCATTTTACTGCCTCATGGTATTAGACTTGTCAGAACATGCTGATTTTTCTCTAGTCTCTGATAAATGTAGGAAATGAAGCATGGAAATGGAGAAATTACAGTAAAGCAATTGAACCCGCCATTCATCTCTCAGAAAGGAGAACAGCTACAAGGACATGAAGTCATTCTTCTGAGCCAGTACAAAGTCTGAGACGTTTAAATAAAATATTTGTACGTTGCATTTTTGGAAAGAAAACTACAGAGGTAGCTGGGAGCGTCTTTAATGCAAGATTTAGTTTTCAAGGTCAAACATCCTATATGCTTCGAAGACTTTAAACACCCTACTTTCCCTCCTCCCCTTCTCTTTTGCTGCTGATGAATCACAGTAAAAGACTCTTTTAAATTTCTTTCATATGTTAAGCAATGTAGTGCTATTAACTCCAGTATCCATCTTTAGATCCTGCTGCACATAGGTATTTTCCCCAAAGGAGTTCACTACACATAATTTCTACACTGGTTCAGGAGTGCCAAAACAGAAAAACAACTGCTGTAGGTTAAAATACTGTATGATTTTGAGGTAGAATTTCTTAGAATAAGAAAACTTTTTTATGATTCTGATGATATTTATACTTCATCTTTCATGATTTATTATTAGATAATAGGACATATATTAAAGTAACAATAGTGTTTTTTGAATATTCTTTCAGTTTGTTTTGTTTTAGCTAATCTGTAGATGAGTTCCTAAATCAGACTCTGTTCCTGCAAACTTTATGATTTGACTTGTTTCTCTTTAATTACTAAGAAGCATAGGTTTGTAGGATTGGGCCTATGTCTGTGGATTGAAAGAACTCCATAGAGAGTGATGCTCACTCTAAAAATGCTTCTTTCTCGAAAAAAAAAAAAAAAAAAAAAAAAAAAAGGCTCTTTGATGAAAGACCCCATCCTACTGTATGGGTGGTAAAAGGCTGGAATTAGAGAAACTATCATTAAGGCTTTGTAATTTTTGCAACCCAGCATTCTCAATTAACTATGTGAAAGTGGCCTTCAGCTTCATCAGAGAAAATAAAATAATTTTAATCATCTGCAGTATGGAAATTTAATTTGAGTTACATTTTGATAGACAATCATTGTTTCATAATTCAGTAGATTTGCTTCTAGTTGTATGAAATATATATATATGTATATATATATATATATAAACAGATTTTGTAATGGAACTGAAAGATATTGCCCATGACTTTTAGTCACATATGTAAGATTTTCAATAAAAATAATAATAAAAAAAATGTACCAAGAGTATGTAGTTCAATGAGAGTGAGATATGTTGCAGGAGTTAAGTATTAAACCACCAAGTTGCTGAGAGAACAATTTTGTATAAATCTCCTCCTTGTTTGTGGAAAGCCATGTGGATTCATGGCTCTGGATTAAGATCTGAAAAAAGCTGAATTTAGCACACAAGATTCAAAGGATATTTAAATGTGGTTTAAAGTAAACAGTATAATTTGCTTGCTTTCCTATTTCCTATATTTGTAAAAATAAAACCATAAAGCACCCCTGTTAGAAAAATGCTAGTTTTTCATGTTTTCTGTGGAAAGAAATCCATTTCTCTCTACTTAATGCCATAAAAATGCTTTGTTTTCTGTTGCACAATTCTAAAATAATGCAGTATCCTTACTGCTACACTTCATATCTTTACCTAGTAACATATTATTGCAGTAAGAAAGATGGAAATTCCTAATATTCGATGAAAGATGTTACTATCGTATATACATATAGTAGACATAATATATATCCTATATAATGATCTTCAAAAATATCATGAATGCAGATTTTCAGTTTAAAACCTTGTTTAAATTTCTCACTTGAGTGTTATGTTATATATCCTGATGTCATAAAGTATATTTTACTGACCAAATAATGTGAAATATTTGAACTCTTGCTTTTTTTTTTTTTTTTTTTTTNAAAAAAAAAAAAAACTTTTTTTTTCCCCCTAACTTTCTGAAGAGCTCCAATATCCACCTACAAGCTATATAAGTCTTCCTCTGAACAAAATATTTCTTTTTGAAAAGAAAAAAATATATATTTATTAAGTTATAACCCCACAGTAACAGAGCCCTTATTAAGCCTAACAGTTGTGATGGCTGAATTGATACAATCACTCCAGGACTTTTGAAATTCAATGTCTTCTTCCTGCAGTGAGTTGAGAGTAAAAGGTAGTGTTGCTCCTACTTGCCCATTCTTTTCTTAAATTATTTTAAAGGGAAGGATTTTTTTAGGAATTTCCCTTTGAAATTTTAAGGTTTCATTTTTGATTTTTTGTACCTATTGATCCTTCAGGCATAGGAATCTATTAAGAACAAAATATTTCTCACCATCCTTTTGCATCTGAAATCATGCTATTGTGTTGATTTTTAGCATCATTAGAATTTAAGGTGAACACACAGTAACACAATTGTGTCTTGTAAAGTTAGTAATAAATTATTAGTTGCAGCCCATCCAGTGGCTGATATTTTTTATTATATGTGGAATTTTTCGCTGATTTAGAGCTTATGTAAAGTAGTGCCATTTTTGCAGCATTACTATATGCTCCATCAATGATAATTAGATGGGATCAAGCATAATGTTATTGCACAGTGACTCTAAAAGTGAATTATGAAAGCTAGAAATGTCATCCTGTTTATTTTACAGAAACAGAGAAGTCTATAGATAAACAAAGGCCTGCAAAGTCATAATCATAAGTATGGCACTTCTGTGTCTCCTGATAACATATCCTTACTCCCAGCACTATTTCTTWTATACACTCGGGTCTTTTTCTTCTCAGTATCAAGAAGCTAAAATGTATTATATCATTCAGTGAAGACTTTTCTTATGGGCATCTACCCATAAGTTTTGTTCTATGAAACAGGAATCACTGAGCACAGCAGAAATATTGTGTTTCTTAAATGAAGAGAATGGAATGAAAATGAAATATTCACATCTGATTTTTTTTTGGTTTGAGTTACCGTTTCTCACAGAAAAAGTCTCCAAATGTGATACATAAAATCTGCCAAGCTTTAAACCATGCAGTTGCAGATAGAAATATATTGCATAAATTTAACATAAAAAAAAAAAAAAAAAAAAAAAAGATTTACCTGATATTTTGACATAAGGTTATTAAGGAATCTATGCATATTGAATCAAACTCAATGGCAACATAACATGTGCAATAATTCCTCAGTAATCACAATAAATTTTGTTCTAAAGCCATAGCTTGTGTGTCATATTCACACTCCTCCTCTGATTTGATATTTGAAAATATAATTCCTAAAATTGAATTTGGATATAAAAATCCCTCCATTCCACAAGATCTTTATTTTAAAATGCCTTATTATATCAGACAATTGCCTAAAGAATTATCCCAGTCCTCAAATCCCATGAAAATCCTTTAACTACCCTATAAGTAATTCTGATATATAAAATTATTTCTTTGAATTAATCTAAGCCATTAAGATTCCCTCTGCACAAAAAAAAAAATGTTTTTCATATGTTTGATCCAAATTAATTTGTAAACTGATATAAGTGTTGCAAGGACTGCTATTCCTGCACTTACCTGCTTCACGACAGTCCAAATCTCTCTTCACTGTACTTCAAAGTGAAATCATGCTGTGTTTAAATTAAATAAAACAGGAAATAGTAGCTACAACTCCTTATCATAAAAGCCAAAAAAAAAAAAAAAAAAAAAATTACTAGGCCATTCTGTTCAGTTATGGTGTCTTGACAAGGCAATCCTGAGAAATGAGTATTTTTTTCTTTTTTTTTATTTTTATGCTTGTTGAATTATTGGTGAAGAGCTTAAGTTTATATAAGCTCACATTTTTTCATCATTCTTCTTTTCTTTTTACTTTAGTCAAAAGCATATCAGACACATGTATCCTGACTGCTCTGTAGCCTCGGCTACAAACCTACCATCTTCCCTTTTGTAAATTTGACAAAACAACAGCCTGAAATGTTTCTTAATTTTGATGTCAAGAAGTGATGGAGAAAAAGCTAAACACAACTATCAACAGACTGCAGTGAATATAATGGGTCACTTTCTTTAAATAACGATAACAGCAATACTACAGTCAAGTAACCATTAACACCATCCCTCACATCATCATAACAGTCTAGTCTTAAAACTTTAAAATAAATGAAGCTGGAAATACTATCAGTACTATTTGCATGGTATGCAAAATCACATCTTTTGACTTTCATTACCCCAGTTACCTACAGTTTCATGATTATCATTTATATGATAATCTGGAAAGAAAATAGTTAAATCAAACTTCACATTTGCCCTGGGTTCACTCGAATTTATTACAGTCCTTTTGGTCTACCTTAGTACTTCACAGTACACTGATAACTTCTCCTGTCTTTGAGATTAACTGCTTCTCAATTAGAATAAATATGATATCCAGCCAGAAATTCAGCCACATTAGATCATTTGAGTCTGATGAGTGGTCAGCCTGAATTTTAATGCCCTTCCCTAATGATCCTTTATTATTATCACATTGCTGAAGTGGTAAGGAAAAGTGTTTACTAATGCACTTAAAAGGTACTAGTTGAAATCCTGGCCATAGGGAGGTGCATGGTGCTCTTCAGCGTATGCATTATTAGAGGAGACAGAGGAGAATGACAAAAAAACACGGACAGCAATAAGAAGATTGACTGTTCATTTAGGCTGGGTACTCTTTC